AAAGCAGATTTTCAGTAAATTGAAATCCCCCATTATCAGAACGTGGGGATAGTTCAACCTCATGACGCGCTTTAGTGCGTCGATAATGGCAGAGTTCATCAACTGTTGGCAATTTTGTGGCCTATAGAGAACGCCTACCAAGAATTACTTTAGTCCAACAATTCCAACAATTATATGGGTTTGATCTAAAAAGATCGGGTATGCGCCTCGGTCCAACCCAAGGGCAAGTGCACCATCATGGTTTTTTAAATGAGGCTGATTATCCGTCATCATCCACAACATGCATGCAACTGTTTCTTTTGAATACTCAAACACTCTACTAAGCAAGCCATAAACAGACAACAATGGAGCTGACTGTCAAGACGACATCTGTTTCATCTATCAAGGAACTGATACCAGTCCAAAAGGCGCATGGTCAAACAATCGAAGGCAGGTTGCACAAGTGACTTTTACCAAGACGTAGGAAATCAACAAAACACATCAAATCACATTAAGAAAGAAAAATGCTTACAGGGAATAAACATCGGGGCTACCCCCCGAGTATTACACCCGAGGACCCCAAGAGTATAAAAGGGCCGCAGTCTGAACAGCTACAAGCAGACAGTATGGCAGTCTGGTATACCAACGCTTGTAGCGTCCGAGGAAAATTGGGCGAGGTTGCAGCACGCTCCCAGGGATCCGAAATCGTCGTTAATACGGAATCATGGTTGCAGGGAATGCAAGCTATATCCGGCCCTAAAGGGCTATACTAGTTACCGGCAGGATAGAGTAGACGGCAGACATGGCGGTGGTGTGCTAATATTAGTTAGGTTATCTCTCAGTCAGTGGGAAACACAGCTGGTCTTAGCTACCCCTAACATCCAAGCAGTATGATGCTGTGTCCAACTGGGAAGAAAGCAGATAGGCATACTAGGAGTCTACCGTGCCCCTCTTGCGGTTCCCTGGGAAGATACAGAGATTTTGTGGGTCACACAAGAAACTCTGGCTAGATATCAGAGGTTTCTCCCAATAGGTGACTCCAACTTCCCGGAGATATCCTGGGCATATGTATCCACGACTGCAGGGTCTCAAGTTGAACGGTTTCTGAAGGGGCTACAGGAAAGGGCCCTCTCACGTATTACAAAAGGAACGAGATATCGAGGACAACAGTGTCCCCCGCTGCTTGGCCTAGTTGTCACAAAGTACAGCTCGGACGTAACTAGTTTAAATATGGAAGCACCGTTGGGCAAAAGTTACCACAAAGTTATTCGCTTCAGACTAACGGTTAGCTATCGTAGACACGGACCCACCCTCATGCGGCTCTATGAACGCATAAAAGTCACAGAATTGGTAGAGGCTGCAAATACCATCAACTGGTACCCGAAGTCCCCGGAGTGTACCGTGCAAGATAGATAGAACGTAGTTAAAAGAAAATTAACTAACCTCACAGAAGCTTCGCGCCACTGAGGGAAGGACGAACCAGACAGACCAATATGGTGGTAACCCAGGACACAGAGGGCGCGGAAAAGCTGCGGACAGTCTTGGGATCGCTTTAAGCTTTAGAGCACTCAACTAGCCTGGAGTGACTACAAGCGGGCGCGCAACAGATGTTCCGACTTCCAAAGGCGTGCCAAATATGACTTCGAGTTTAACTTAGCACGAGGCGTCAAAAAGAACCCCAAAGGCTTCAACGCGTACAGGCAAGCCAACGAACACACACGGAAGAGTGTAGGAGCACTAGCTTTGTCCGATGGAGTGTAACCGCAACAAAGCGGAAACCTTACTTGAGTTCTTTAAAAGCGTTTATAGGACCCCAGCCGAATATGATAACCCGGGTTCAGGAGGATCAGCTGATACGTCGGAGTTTGCCGATATTGCCATCTGTGAAACAAATGTAGATCGAGAACTCCAGATGCTGAACAGGCACAGGTCAGCAGGTCTTGATGGAATCCACCCAGCCATAGTGCAGCCGCTGGCCGGGGTGCTGGCCAGGCCGCTGACTGTACAGACCCGTTAACCTAACATCAGTGTTGTGTAAGTGCCTGGAGAGACTAATCAGAAAGCAGATTTGCCTATATCTGCCTAGCAACCAACTCCTGTCACCGGCACAACATGGCTTTGTGCAGCGGAAATCATGTCTTACGAACCTACGTGTATTCCTAGACGAAGTGACTGAATGTATGGATGAGGAAAAAAATGTAGACGTCTGTTACTTAGACTTCTGTAAAGCATTTTGCTCTGTCAGCCATAGATTGTTGGACTTCAAAGTTCAGAGCCTAGGCATAACAGGTAGAGCCAGGGATTGGATTGTAGCCTTTTTCAGCAACCGCACCTTCCGAGTCAAGGTGGGTTACTACATTCCTAACCATGAGATGATTACAATTGGGGTTCCCCAGGGCTCAGTGATAGGCCCCTTACTTTTTCTCATATTCATCAACGATCTGGCACAGAATCTTCAAAATCCGTGTTTTATATTTGCTGATGATGTCAAAATGACAGGATTAAACCCGAAGTTAGTATTTAGAGTGGGAACATAAGGAATAAATTCTACTTTAGCCGGAAGCTTTGAAATGGTGAGAACTCCGGATTGACTCTTAGAATTATTCTAAAACTGACTATCCTGTTACATGTGATCTGTGTATTTGAACGCATTTCTACTTGAGGTCTCTAACCAATGAGGCGAGAAGATATTCTTGCTTGCTTTCCTCCCTTTCAACTTACCCTCAAGGAGTCAACGTTCTGGCACCGGGGCTAAATTGAGAAGACCACAAACACCTAATCAACTCTGCGCAGTGTTGAAAGCTACTTCCATCCGCCGACAAAACAACGAACTGGACTCTCGATTAAGAGCCATATTCGTCCTGTGAAAACTGAACTGAGCTTAACTGAACTAAACATCGAAAAGCGATCATAGCACGAATAAAAATGAACCCTTCAATTAACCGTCATCATCCTTTAACCATCCTCCAACTTGCGTAAATCACATCGCAGAGTCCCGTGAGATGTGCAAACCAAAGATCCCAAAGATTACTTTTTTAAGCCGGCTTTTAGTGAAATCTCTGGTGAGTGGGCTCTGAAGCATTTCCGCTCAAATGGTGTCGGTATTACGTGGACTAAAATGTCCTACGTATACCTTAGTT